AACTTCGGAAATGCGGCGTCTGTTGGTCTGATTTCAAGTCGGCTTCTTGGGATTCCGTCATATCACTGGTGGGATTGAGACTTGTGGGCCCTTCAGAGTTTGGTGCCTCAACCACGGTGGGCACATCTGAATTACTTGGCGGCTGCTGTACATCTGTCCGAGATTCTGCTGCCACAGGTTCTCGAGGGAGATTGCAAGCAAAGACTGTTATATTCAATCGACACGAATGGCCAGGTCGAATCAGTTGACGCTTTGCTAAATCTTCCCAGGCTTCCCATTCTTCGTCAGCCTTCAAATCCCCTGAGGACCGTTCAATGAAAATGCTACGTCGAAAAGGTGCTTCACCCTTCTGAAGTGGTTGGATTGGTGCAATCGTGCGGTCTGTTCCTCGACATGCCACAACCTGAATGATCCTTTTGTCTTGGATGAGTTCGGCTAACTCCTGAAGTATGCTAGGATCATTGATAACTATCTTACCAACCCTGGGAACTTCCTTCAGAATTTTGTCAAAAACATCTTTCCATTTCTGTTGGGCATCCAGTGTGGTGGTCTTCCCAGTGATTTTGGCGCGTTTTCCCCATGGTATGTCTGCAATGGGCCGTGCTCGACTCTTATTCAGTCTTGCTTGGAGCCCCATTTTGGGGCGTTTGGCATTTCGCTCCTGGGTCACCTCGGCACCTGCAAGTGTCCAAGACCAAAGCTCCTGCTCTTCCTGCCACCGGTATGGTGATTCTTTGGGACTTCGAACTTTGCATAAACACTTGGCGACCCTTCTTGCAAACTTTCTTGGATAGTTTTCGGAAAAGCTGGAACGATTCATGGTTTTTCCATTGACGTGGCATGATCCCTCAATCTGTTGATGTTCATGTTTTCCCGAACATTTCAAACCGCACATGTCATGGAAAAGGCTCTTTGACGACGTCATGATTGTAAGGGCTTTCCGCATATGCAACTTGGTGTCAGGATCGATCAAATCACCTGCCGTGCACAAGTCGATCTCCAGGGCAATCAAATGCTGACGGACCTCCTGTAAATATGGCAACCTCAACATTTGGGAGTTTTGTGGTTGTTCCCAATGAAAGTGGTTCCCCTGACTACGTTGATATCTCAGGAGTACAATTCCCAAAGCAATTTGATCAAGGTGTTGTAACCGGCTTTGTTGAAGAGCATCCCATGATTGGATCGACCTACTTCCATTAAGATTTGACCAACCACTCCATGGACCGCATTTTGGGCTAAACCATACATGCTTTGGGCGGTGCTTGATCAACACTTCAAATAACCGGTTGCGACCCTCTTCTGTTTGAAGATCCCCTTCAGCAAGGCCAAATCTGACGGCTCGATATCCCAGTTGCTGGCACTGATGGGTCAGTTGGCTTTGTGGTCCACAAAACACTTCTAAGACATCGATTCTGGAACCGGAACATTCAACCCTTCTTTGACAAGTTTCAAGTTCATGGGAAATGAGATCAACAAACTTTTGAAACTGTTTTCTTTCTACATTGGATTCATGTGTCAACTTTTCCGGGGATGTCCCTGACTCATCGATGTCTCCGGCATGGAGACCATAGGCCCAGCATGGGCAGGCATCTACTGAGATTCCACCTGGTGCTCCAAATGAGCAAGGATGCGGCTCAGAACAGCCTCCATTTGATCCACACGGTTCTCGAGGGGCTGCATGTTCTCCGTGAGTGCCACACTCTGGGCATCCATCTCGGCTTCCGGCAGAAACTCGAAGTGATCTTCTTCCTCCTCCATCTCGGGAATTGGAGTCTCCGCAGGCATTTGTGGCTTGCGGCAGGCCACCTTGGCCATCATCTTGGGCTTCCGTTGGCTCATCTTCGGTCCGGCATGCTGTGGAATCCCTTCCCCCGTGAGTTCCGCTTGCTCGATCTTCAACTGAATGAAGTGGATCACCTTCTGGTGATTCTCCTTGCCTGACTTCTCGTAATGGCTCACGAACCATCCGATCCAGTCCTGGTGACGATTCCACATCTCCAGATAGGTTTTGCCCCGATGGGCTTGTCCGAAGTCGATGGTCGACTCTTCGAGATCCTTCATGCTGAGGTGGTCGAAGTTGTACTTCTCGGGAGCACTGGGAATCTGGAGAGCTTTCAACCGATCGCTGAGGCTCATGGCGATCACGCTTGGGCACTTCGAAACTCTGGGCAAAACGGGTGTGCTTTGAGCTTCTGGGATCTGCCGGATGCAGCGCTTCTGTACAGTTCTTTTCACTTTCGATCATTTGGTCAAGGCTTTGATCATGGGCTTGGCATGAATTTGACTGGGTTATGTTAACTGGTGTGAACTTGTTGGCATCATTTGAAGTTATTTTGGTTAAATTATCACGTGGAGACCTGTTGCGTGAACTTTGGGATGGCATTGTCATGTTGTTGGCACACTGATCATGGATGGTTGACTCTGCAGCAGTCGATGCAACAGCGGCAGCAGGCTCTGTACACTCTTTTGGCATGGTTGATACCTGATGTGTCTCGGCTACCTGTGTGGACCCGGTCGCGTCCATCAGGTCATTGAGGTCCAAAAGAAACAAACCCTTCTCAGTGAGCTGAATTGGTATGGTCTTGGAGATCTTGGTAGCATGAATGACTTGCTGACTTGTATCAATCACTGCACCAATCGCTCTCAAAAGGGTGTTTGACAAAAGGAAAGGAGTAGATCCGGGTACTACGGCCACCTTAAGCAACAGACCATGCATTGGAATCACTAGGGCTTGTTCACTTTGTAAGACCCCTTGGTTACCAAACCGGAAAGTCAACTTACATGGACATCGGCGTACAGTTTGACGTGCTTCAGGACTTAAACCCTTGAGTAACCCTGGCACAAGCTGACTTCCTATGACTGTTTTAGTGGCACCCAAATCGACTACTCCCAGGCTGCTGTGTGTTGCAAACAAGGTCATATGATCCTCACTCTCAGTGTCACCAAAGCTTCGATCTCTGGGCTCTTGGACGGACATGCGATTCGATCTCAGCTCATTCCTGATGCCGTGAAAACGGTTGACTCGCATGCATGATTGTTGCCATGAAGACAGTGATCTTTTCAGCCTATCTTTGGAGGATTCATGATATGTTTCAACATGCGAACACGTAAAACACATGCTATCATGAAATTGAGGCTCATCCATCGTGCTCTCCAATGTCGGCACTTGTAGGAACTCTAGCGGCAGACTGTCTTGACCACCTTGAACCTGGACAAAGGACGTGGGAGCTTGAGGTCGGCTGGCACCGGATGCATCAGTTCTGTTGGGGCATTCGGCACGCCAGTGGCCGATCTTTCCGCAAAGCCTACATGCTGAGGTCAAAATCCTCTGCTGCAAAGACTTTCTGTTGGACTGATGTCCCTTTTGGAACTTTCCTTTGACCCCTTTGTAGGACCCCTTATGTTTCCCTTTTGACAACGGCCAGAAACCACGGGACTTCACTTTGTCGCTGAGACGCTTTCGGGCCTCGGTATAGGCATTGAATGCCGAGGCAAGATCCTCATCCTGTTGGATGACATCGGCTGCAGCATTTTCGAAGTCCGCTATGAGTATGGCGTCCTCGTCACCTTCCTGGAAAAGGGCGTCAACAAGGTCATCTTCACAAATTTCTTCACTCGTCTCTGCATGCAGTGTGTTCGACATGTCCTCCTGGTCAGGACTGTCGGACATGATCATGGCAGCATCATACGTTTTCAGTCTGTTGGGCTTCTTTCCTGATGTCACCTCTTGGAAAAATCCAGCACCCAGCATACGGATCGCGGCTGCCACACGTTTCATGGTGAGTCTACCATCTTCACTGGCTTCACTGTCGATCACAACTCGTTTCTTGTCTTCACCACTGAGGCCTGATCCACGCAACGTGATGTAAGCTTGCAAATCTTCCAGCTTGATCTCCTTGGTCATGAGCTCTTGCCAGGCAACATCAGCCCTGGCCAGGTAGCTATCATTGGTTTCGTCACTCTTTTGTGACAGGCGATACAAGGCTTTTTCTGCAGCTTCATACTTGCGTTCTAACGGAATCTGACCCCATTGACCTCCAAGGAGTTCAATCAGGCGTTGAATTGATTTCTTGTCATTGTCGGTCAATTCGGTACTGTGCAGTTGCAGCTTCTGAAATGCAGTTCCTGTACATCCCAAAATGAGACGGGTGGCAAGTTCGGTCCACTTACCATCAGGCCACATGTTCATGAGCAGTTGCACCTTCTTGGTGTAATCTACAATCTCATCTTTGGCAGGGTCAAAGGTCGGGACAAGGTTGGCTAGCTGGTTCGGAACTAGTGTTGAAGTTCCAGTCCCATCTGAGCCATCACTTGCTTCTGGCATGTCCTCCCCCCTGGATCCTCAGCGAGAGCTCGCTGAGCTCCGCTACTAGTGTGATTGGCAACACTGGCAACGGATATCCTCCTCCCAGTCCACCACGGCGCTCTCAGATTGTTTTTCCCTTCCAGGCCACAAGTCTGATCACGGTGCAAGTCGGGGATCAACCCCGAGGCAACAAGAGTTATCCAAACTCAAGGCAACGGCTGGATGCAAAGTGCTCCTATGGATTTTTGGGGACCCCTGGTCCAAAGCAGTAAGTGCGGCCTCGCACAAAGCCTATGGCTAAAACACACGGAAGCAAATGACCCTCCCTCACCTTACCCTATGGGCACTCCTGAGCCATGCATGTGCTATGGATGTGAACTCTGGTGATTGACCCTTTGATTGGATTGTAAGACAAGAAGTGCAATGATGTTGAACATTCACAATATATACATATATATATACATATATATATACATGTATATATATATATACATATATATATATATGTATATATATATATACATATGATACTGTATGTCAGTCTGTCCTAGTTTGGCATGGTAGGGGGGATGACCAATCTTATAGAAGGAAATAGTAAGAACGTGTCCATGTCATCATGTTCAGAATCTGCAGAATCCAGAGTCCAAAAGAATCCAACAGAATCAGTTGATCTAAGCAGATCTAAGCAGCAGGCATCGACTTGGGCATACCGCCTTCCAACCAGGCTTCCGTTGGACGGGAGGAATAGCTCCACTGCCTCCGCCAGGCTCTGGCGACCGAATGCGACCGATGTACAGTTGGAAAATTCCATCGTTCACGAGAAATACCGGCAATACCGGCAATACCTGTTAAGTCAGTTTAAGTTGCCTGAAAAGTTGAGGTGAATCAATAAGAAAAGAGACTCCCTCCAGAATCAAACTTAGCTCGTATGAGTTTTCTGGACAATGAGTGAAATACGTCTATCTCTTCTTCAAAACTCAAGCTCTTGATGCCAGCAAACTCATAAGAAACAAATAAAGTCTGCTTTGGCCCTCCCTCAAACCTGTAGTAGATCTTGTCTCCACGTACATCAGTCCATCTCCAGGTGGCTCGATCCTTGGGTACTGGCACCGGCGTTAAAGCTTCGCTATGATACCATGGCGAAGTTATTCCGAGACCCGGACCAGTCGAGGCACCACATAAGCTTTTTTTGGAAGGGTTCGGCCTGACAGTCTCAGAGGTCCCAGACTGTTTCACCTGACAAAAGATCCCTGTGGGTCGCAGTGAGTTCTGAGAGAACTGCAATAGGTATCATGTTGTCTACAGATAACAGATTGTATGACATAAATCTATGTATACATATATATATATATGATTATATATGGTATATATAGTATGGTACAATATAATGATAATAATAATAATGATGATGGTAACAATAATTGTTATTATCATGATGATATGATAATGATAACAATAATAGTAGTAGTAGTAATAATAATTGTAACAACCAGCATTATAATGTTATATATATATAATTATATATAATTATATATACATGTTCTCATGCCGCGGCGTAGCAAGGCCTTGGACATGTGCTCGTCGAAGAGCCTGGGCAGGTGCATCGTCTGCCGTGAGGTCGGCTGGCACCTCAACGGCTAAAGTGGCTAAAAAGATGGCGAAAGATGGCAAGTTTAGCCAAGCAGACGCAGCAAATGGCTTCAAAAAGTTTCGACGCAAAGGCGCGAATCAACTCTTCAAGTGAACATGTCGTTTACATTTCCCGTTTTTGAAGCTCAAAATACAACAAGTCCTTAAACTCTTTCAAATTGGTACCTGCTGGAGGTAGCAAAGAATGTGATGTTTACTGACTTCAAAAAAATATTCTGAAGATGATTCCGTTCACAAATGAGGTGTGTCTGCTGTCAGGCCGCCGAGGTGTGTCTCGACTCTCTACCACTACTGACGTCTACGGACTCTCTAATGGAAAAGTTCAAACAAAGCAGCCTTGTGTTGCTTTCAGAAACACGAAAAACTATGAAAAACACACATACAAATCAGATCAAATGAGTCTGCAGGTGTCTGCAGCCCTATCCTGTGTAGCTCTGGCGGTACATGGTGCTGTTGCTGAGCCACTGACCCAAGGTGCCTTTGATGCTCCAGGGGGCCGAATCACCCAACTTCGAGCTGCCGTGGAATGCCGTGGAGCCAAGGGCTAAAAGAAGCAAAACGCCAAAAAAAAAACACATATCACATCACACCACATCACATCACACCACATCACACCACATCATATCGCATATCACACGTCAAACATCAAACTTTGGACTCAGAGGGGGCAGGATTTTCAGTCATCACACCAGCAGCATTAACAGTATACGATGTGACAATATGTGACATGCATCCGCTTTGTCTGTGCTGTTTCCATGTGCCTTCTCGAATTGCGCTTTGGCCGCGGCAATGCCAATGCTTCCATGGCTGAACAATGCGAAACATGGGAAAGAAATGGATCGAATCCACGCAGCAACCACAATATGCCACAATATGCCACAATCTGCCACAATAATCTACCATCGTTCCTTTTGTTTCCCACCCAAACATTTTGCCGGTCTTCCAGTTGGATGCGCAGTGCTACTGTATTATCTATATTATTTACTGTTGCTTGCAACACTCGGCCATGGGAAGTCAGCCTCGATGTGGGTTTTTAATGGAGTTACGATTCATACGATTCACTCTTGTCATGTCCAGCTTGCTGCATTTCTCGGATTGAAACGGCAGCAAGATGCCATGAACACATCAAAGTCTTGCCTAGTGCGTGCGGCCTTTCAAAGTAACAAAATGATTCAAAATTGAGGCTGGAACCACTGAGAGTGAATACATCCCTGTAGTTGCGGAAAATCACTTCATGATTCGCCCATGATTTCTGCCCAGTGCTGTGCTGTGCCAAATTGAGGTGTATGCTCGGCGATTAGATCCCCGACCAAACCTATTGAAGTTTCCAAATGGGAAAAGGATGGAAAAGGTCAGCAGTGGTGTATGAAACTGGATGCTGCATGCTGTCGCTGTTGTTCAGTGGAGATCCGCTCCAAAAAATTCTGCCAGCTGCCGGCATTGCCAAGCTTTGGCCCTCACTGTGAGTTGGTGTTAAAAATGCCCGGCTTTCCAATGGCAACTCAGTCTGGAGAAATTTCGCAACCTCCAGGTGAACATGATTCTCATCAAGCATGGCGATCAGAACTTGCACCTAACCCAAACAACCTAAACAAGGCAAATCTGCTCAGCTGCAACTGCTGAAAGGGAAGACATGATGGACATGTATTTTTTATTAAATTTTAATGTAGTAAATTTGTGTAAAGACTGGTAAGATTTAGTAAATACTCTAATACTCGTCTCTCGTTGAGAACTGGACACTCAACGCTGAATGAACTGCATGGAGCTGATGGCGCCCAGGAAGAAGACTGTTGGCACCTGGACGTGCCAAGATGTGCCAAGTGGTTCGGAAATGGCCCCGTGGAATCCGTGGAATCTGCAGACCAGAAGCTGGAAACAAAATGCAAATATTTTGTCAAATATTTTGTCAAATATTTTGTATCCCAGATATGACCAGATGGCAACAGATTGATGGTCGATGGTCCTTGTATGTCCTTGTAAAGTTTTCCACCAAGATCTACCTTTGCTTTCTAGCCTTTCAACCGGTCAAGGCTCAGAGTTACTGTGCGTGAATACCTCCCTCCGCATTTCACGCGGGCTTGGCTGGGCACCACCAGTGCATGGACTGCAAGCCAGCGGAAAGTGAAGATAGGGTAAGCAACTGGGGTCCTAGCCATCGCCCGGGTCTCATATTGTCGCAGGCTTGTAAAGGGTTTCGGTTTCAGGCTGCAAATCAATTCAAAAAACAAACGATGGATTCTTGATGATTCTTGAAAGCTGATGAGCCTGAAAGAGAACAACGTTGTCAGATCAGAACATGGTGATACTTTCACTGGCACAGCTTTGGGCTATCCAAAACAAATACAGACTGGTACAGAGACTGTATTGTGTATCGAATGTGTTGGACTCGCTCCTGGCAACGGCTGGAGTCCTCAGCTTACACGACACGTGTCGACACGTGTCGACAGTGTACAGTCCAAAATCTCTGAAACCACATCAAACGATGGGTAAAACGATATGAAACGTTCAAGAAAGTGAAAGAAAGTGAAAGAAAGTGTCAAAGGATGTCAAAGGCATTCAAAGGCAAATCGAAATCCGAGACGACATCTGAGTCGAAGTGACCAAAGCAGGTTCCATGTCTTTGTCTCCTCAAGCTTGGCAAAAAGTGTCCTAAGTTTCCCTTTGGGGCTGCTGCTGCTGCTCTGCTTTGCATGAAGTCTTTCCACGACGGAAGGCCTTGCCATTCCAATGACCCAACACAAACAGAAAGAGTCATTCAGAGTCGAGATTGTCGTAGGACAATGTTGCTCTACAACCTCCAAACGCCAGACTTTGTATCATCATGTATCATTTACAAATCAGGCTATTTGGATTTGCGGCTTCGTTGAAACTGCTGCGATTGCTTTGTCTAACGCTGCTGCCATGCCCGCTGCAGCAGCATAGCCCATGGAGAGACCAGCCAGCAAGGGCGGCTGGCAAAACGCACAAGACTTGAGACGACTTTACAGCTTCTGAAAGTTCCTGAAAGGTGCTTAAGGGATCTGACCTGATCTCAACTGTTTGAAATCACCGCTTTCCGTCCCAGTTCCCGTTCCCCTTACCCCGGTCGCCAAGGGTTCAAAGCAGGATGCAGTTGTCAACTGTGTCAGGCACACGGACCAAGATGCAGCTTCCTGCCACTGGAACCGTTTATCAATGGGTCGAAGAGTGTGGAAGTTACTGGAAGTTCGTGAAGACCAGTCTCGGAGTCCCGCCTCAACATTTTGAGTTGCCTGCCAGTTCAGCAAAAGGCAAAAACATGCAAAAAAACATTGTCTGGAAACAAAAGATACAAGGCCACTGTTCATCTGAAAAACTACCCGAGCATCTTGATTGTTGCAGATTCACTTTTAAGGGCCTGGTGAATCCTTGCCCCCAGACATACCAGTTTTGTCTTTGGCAAATGCAAAAAAACATATTGTCCAGCTATCTCGCACACGTAGACAGAAAAGTATATGGAAATATGCAGGTCTTGAATGACATGAAAAAACTCCGCATATTGAGAGCATTCCTTGTGCAGCAAACAACTTGGTCCAGGTTCAACGAGGACTAAACATGAATTGCACAGCATTCGATTCATTCGATCAATGAATTGCACAGCATTTTCAATTTAAATTGGGAAGTTTGGAAGGTCCAGGCGTGGACACACCGCATAAACCGTATCTGTTTTGCCGGGAAGCCTCCGACACTGCCACTGGGGCTGTGATGCCGGCTGGACCTCAGGCTCTGTCGCTTCTTAGCTCCCCATTTAATAGGGAATATGGAACCTTAGCTACCTCTTTATCACCGGATAGCTCATGAAAGTCCAAAGAGTTGGAAAGTTGAGAACAAGGCCGGTTTTGCTTTATTACTCAAGTACGCATTGCAGCAATTGCGCAATTGAGATGGCATTTTGTCCGGACTCTACATCTTGGTGAAATCGCTACAAATTTCTAAATCAACGAAATAAAGACCTTTCTTATCATTTCCCCGAGTCTTGCATCTTTTTGCATGAGCCACGTTTTACACTCTTGACAATCCTCGCATGGAGACGACCGATGCCGCCGAAGTATACCGATACCTAAGTCTACAGTACCTAAGCCGCGAAACTATGAGCTTCAAAAATAAAGGTCCAGGTGACTGTCAAACAGGAAAACAACTGTGATATACAGGGCATCTGTCAGAAACGCTGCATATAAGACTCTAAGACACAAATATCACATAGGAATGTTTGCAAGAACTGATGATCAGATTTGCTAGCTGTGCAGATGTCTCTTCCAGAGATGGCGTTTTTAAATCGGCACATCCCACAACGCCTGCCCAGCTTTGGAGAGGGCGTCTTGTGAAGGATTGTCAATGGACAAAATGAGGCGTAGTGGCGATTGAATCAGAAGATTCACAGGCTGGTTGGTGGTTTGAACCCCTCTGAAAAATATTAGTCAGATGGGATTATTCCCAATATATGGAAAAATAAAAGATGTTCCAAACCACCAATCAGCAGGTATATAGATTTCCCTGGATCTACAAAGGAGTCCAGGTGGGTCACATGCAACGCAGAGAGCACAGAAAGCACAGAAAACACAGAACTGACCTGTGTTTCAAAATGTTTCAAACCTGATAATGAAATATATTGAATGCACAGGGTTTTTTGCAGATGTGCGTGTGCGTGTGGGTGTGTGTGTGTGTGCACCCTTCTTACACAGGGCGTGGTATGAATATGCAGGGGGCCACAGGCCTGTCTTTGACAACGAAGACCTTCATTGAGAGGTGCGTAAGCATATCTGCTAGGGAAGGTTCTGGGCGCAATGGTCGCAGTTGGGGGCCCCACATGATTCCACATCCAAATGCATGTGCCGTGGTTGGTTCATCATGCGGTCACAATACCTAGGGTGCATGATGTCCATGTAGTTTTCCCGTTTCGACTTCTCCCTGCTGTGATTCGCCTACCAGGTGGAATTTTCAAAACTGTACAACAATTGGAGGCTTCGATGCTACCCACTCGACTTGGACAATTACATCTAAAACCAGTCCTGTGACTTGTGTGTGTGTGTGTGCCATCTCAAAAGATGTAAACCTTCCTGGTTTTTCGCTTCTGTGGTTGGTCAGAGGGCCCAGAGATTGGAATGGTCTTGTTCGTCGCAACTTGTTTCAAGTTTCAAGTAGGGGGGCAGTGCATGACTGACAGACACTGCCCACCGAAGGCACTGTCAGTCCGTGGTGATATGGACTCTGATCAACTTCACGTAACTGCAATTTCTTCCTGAAACAGGATGTGGCTAACCTTGAGAACCATGCCGCTTTGAATGCTCATTTTTTGCAATCCACCCACAGGTGTTCCATGAATTTCACGTGTTTCATGCAAGTTTGCAACAATATGGATCTTTTTTTCATGCTCTACTGACTCTACTGGTTTCAAGAACATTTGAAGATGGAATCAGGAGCTCTTCAGAATCAGTGCCGGATTTTTTTTCTCCTGCACTTTTTGAGCTGTTGTTTTGCACGTAAGATAGACTCCAGCGACCCAATTGCAACGATGATTCTGTTCAAGTGTGTAAGAATGTGTGTGTGTGCGTTTGTTGTCACGTGTTCCTATTTGTCATCCATTGCTATTGAGGACTCCATGCCCACGTATTGGTTTACAACTGGCTATTGATTTGGGTATCGGTATCATCGGTATCAAAGCTGGCGAATCGTCTTCAGAGGAACATGTCCGGGCAAGGTCTTGAAGGTCTCATGCAATCGTCGAAGTTCCCTGCGTTCACCAAATTTCCCAAACAAATACGGCGAATACATGCGAATACGGGTACCTGGAGGGTACAGTAACGAGAACATAGTAAATACATGTAAATACTGTGTAAATACATGTAACAGGAGTAACAGGAGTAACAGAAATATGATTATTCAAGCATATTCAAGCTAATATACACGCTGAAGTGGTTTCGAGTCTCCAGACGGGCTCCATCTGGGGTCGTCACGCGGTGGTGCAACGAAAGCACAGGCAGTCCCCAGGAGCATCAGCAAAGTTAAGCCTTGATTCAGAGATATTCAGAGTTTCCATAAGTTTCAGCTTCATGATGTTTCTGTGAATGTTTCTATGATTTTCTGGACAGTAACATGTTTCTTAACGTTTATGGATTTTGTCACCCCACTCGAGACATACCTTAGCTGCTGACGCGTCATGAGTGTGACCTCAGGCACTCAAGACTGAACGAAAACAAAGAAAATAGAGATTGCCTGAGATTCTTGCTATGCCGCTACGCCTCTCTTATTTTGAACGGGTGATTCCAGAAAATCTGGGCATGGCATTTTGAAATTGGATAAATTGGGGATGTGAAAGTTGTTATGGCCTGGGTATGCCAGCCATGATGTGCCCCACGGGTCTGCAGAGGTGGAACAACTGGAACAACCGATGTTTTGTCTTGCAATCTCGGTCCTTGCAGCGCCAATGCTGACGCTAATGTCAGCAAACTGCCAGGCTCTGAACTTTGCCCCAGCTTCAAAAAAAGCGATATGGCATATGTAACCCTCTTCGACGCTCTCAGAAGATTCAGAAGTGGAGTGCCGGAGGGGTGCAAGCCGACTTAAATCAATGGAATCAAGGGGCCAAGCTAAACAAGGGATGGGCAAAAAGCCGCCTCATAAGAGACCAGCCCGAATCGAACTCTTTTTGCAGCTGGAAAAGCTCAATCTACTGAATGATCTGAATGTAATGTCCGTTGTCAGTTGGATTCCAATTTACTTTGCTTGCAAAGTCTGATGATTCTGATGGCAATAATGCAGGAAGCCCAACAATGATTGAACACTATTGAATCGGATTGAACCTTTCAAGCTTGCTCTTGCTTTTCTCATCTATTCTCCACCTCCCTGACTGTACTTCAAATTCAACAAATTAGGAGGTGGAAAGCAATGAAGCCAATGAAGCAATGGCACAAGCTATCCAGCTTGTTCCAGTAGCCCTGGAAGCCTGGAACACAAGTCAGACTCGATCCGAGGGAAGAGATTCAGAAGAACAGGAGGCCATCCACTCCGTTTCGAAAGACTGAGTGGAAAGAAACCGTTGATCATTTCGACTACTGTATATTTTATCATATTTTATCATGCTTTCTGATGCTTTCTGATGCTTTCTGATGCTTTCTGATGCTTTCTGATGCTTTCTGATGCTTTCTGATGCTT